CCGGCTAAGTGGCTCGCCCGGTTCTCGCTAGTTTTGGCGCGATGGATTTATGATTCTTATGCCTGTAAACGCTCGATTTGTCGTTACTTCGGAATAGATTTCTGTCACAAAATGAGTATTACCGATTCGCGGTCAATCTTTTTGTGAAAATTGGCATTAAATGAAATACAGAAATGAGTGCAATGTTTTATCATCGGGTATACAATTCATTCAGGATATATGATATTATAATGAGATGAAAATTATCGCACAATGGATATTTCTCTGAACGTTGCTCCACGCACTTTACAATTATCATATAATTTTGCTCATTATATGGAGGATATATAATCTCTATACTTTTTAGAAAATATAAAACATTTTGGACACAGCAGTTTAAATTATCTTCTATAATTCACGCGTTGTATACTTTTTCGAAACATAATCTCTATTAACTCATTTTTAATGCGAGCGATAAAATGTATTTTTATTGCTAGAGCAGAGCGTTAAACATGACGTTACCAAAGGCAAAGATGGTGAGTTTGGCTAAAAATGATACACATGTTTTTCTTGCGTCAGGTAACGTGTTTATATCTGTTTTTCTCCGTCATACACAATAAATGTTTATTGCTGTCGTGACTGGTGTTGTCTGTTACGTGCCAGGTACATCACCGTTGACCCTTGCCTGCGCCACGCATTAAATCTCACTTTACGAGCTATACGTCATTTTTACAGGATACGCAGCTTCTATGTAAACAAATGTAATAAATTCTTGAAGGACCGACTTTAACGACGTTCTTTTCCATGTTCGAGCTATCTGTCAGAACGCACAAGTTCTGCAACGTGGCGATGACATCACGGGTCGCATGAGTACTTGACCCTCCTATTTTCCATAATATGGTCAATTAGTGCAAAACCGAGCGGCGCCAGACAATGGCAGGCTTTCGAGTTTTTGCATTCTTCGTATTGTGCCGAATTAATCGCCTCGGAGCTGTAGGGAGGAATATGTCCATCAACGTATTACGGGTGCGGTTAATAGCTATAAAACGACGGCGACATATTGAGTGATATGTTAAAAATTTAAGTACACATTGACGAAGTGTACATTGTACTTTTTTTCATTAAGCTCCGTCGTAAAAATTTTATCGCAATGATAGCAGCTTGTTAGCAAGCTAATATTGTGTGTTGAATTACTAAGAATAACATCCTGAAAATTCACCGTATGTCATACATATTATTATATATAATTGCCACTTTTTATAACTTTCGTACACATTCCCCTCTTGTATTTTGCGTAATTATTATTATGTCATTAAAATATAATTGTACTCTTGTTACTGCCACGTTTTATATTATGGCGATCATATTATTTATCTGTATTTTCCCCTCACTCGACATTCCTTTTTAATATGATTGTACAAATAAACGAGCGCGCGCGCGCATATGCGTTCAAATAAAATATCGCAAAGATACATGCGATTGGTTTTCTGTGAAACGGAATAATACGATCACGATATCCGTACACGTTAAACAAACAACGTCACTGATAAAATAACGTTTTGCCATTAACGAGCCATCCGTTGCACCAATATGCGTTCGCTCTGTCGAAAGCTGTTATTGAAGCAAATTTCGTGATTGCGTTTACACGGGCAATATTGCATGCGAGGCAAGTTCGACTACGAAACGCACATGAATACCGGACATTCACACCAACGTGTTCGACGAAAAACGGACTCATTAATGATTTATTTGCCTTTCAACTTCGAAACGTTGCAAACATTTTCCGTAAACCGCGGATGTTGATCACGTTATCGAGAGAGATACGTTATGATAAATATAAATAATTATTCATCCAGGGATTTGAATCAATTATGCGTGGCATTTTTGCAGCATTGCGTTATACCCCAATCCTATTATTGCATGTTTTTTGTAAAATTATAAAAACAGTATTTTTTGTTTATAAAATGATTGAATATTTCAAATATTTAAAACCATAATAATTAATACGAAAGATCTAAAAATGTTTTAAAAAATTGTTTTATAAAAATGTTCTATAGAAAAAGAAATTTTTATACTTATTCCAACAATATTAGAAAGGATAAGATAATTTATAATACGAAATATCAAAACATGAATATTAATCTTTATATGGAGTTATAGTTTAAAATTATAATTAGTTAGATTGTATTGATTGTTTTTAATCTTTAGAAAACGGGAATTTTTCGTTATATAAATAATAGAAAAAAAACGCGATCAAGGTCTTTCTTCATTAGGCGGACTAATAAGTGACTAGCGAATGTGGGATCTGATAAACGTAGAAATAAATTTTGTACTCACAATACCTATTTGATATATGAATAAAGCGCCACTAAAGAAAGATATTTTGAACATTAACAAAGCATTAATATGTGCCCATTAGCCAAGTCTTAGACGCACAACCCCGCAAGCAATTAACGGTGATTTGACTTTTCTCCCTCTAACCGGTGACACAAATTAGCTGCGTTCCCATCACGTGTTTCAACATTACCAGGCGGCATCAATACCTCGCCATAAATCGTTCGTTATACGAACATAAACTATCGACGTCACGTACTAACTACGAACGTTGTTGTGTGTATCGCACTTGAAGAATAATCGGGAAAAACAATGGTTTCGCGAGGCTAATGTAATAATCTATGAGATAGCGGAAGTAAAACGTTGAAAATTTTTGTCCCGCGAGTATTATTACGGCATACATATTTCATAACGAACGTGTAGGTTGACACAGAAAATTGATCGACCTTTCGGCAGATTTATGTCTTGAATTTGCATCCAATCTCTCATGTCTGCGCCCACGCGTATAAATTATGTACGTATGTACAAATATATGTGGAATTGCGATTAATGCTACAAAAAAAAGGTAAGATACATTCGCAATAAATGGAAGGGGAGAGCCGGACACGCGCTATTACCTGACATTTATAATGAGAGAGAAAGAGAAAACTAAGTTTGTTTCGCATACAATTATAAGTTTAAAAATCACGATTTACGTCACGCTTGCGGTTTTTTGGCGACGCGACGTAAGACAAGGAATAAGGAAATGACGTTGAAATGTCTTGGGCCTCTGCAGACGCGCCTAATTGCAACATGCTGCAACTCTTAAGCTGTATGAGACAGCAAGTAAGTCTCGGGTATTTTATCGGGCTAAAGTTCGAATTTGATATTCGCGAGCTCGTGTCAGATAATTAGATGCGAGTAAGACTTACCTGTTTAAGTACTTATTTCCGATGCGGAGATAAAACGGGCATAATACGCATGCAAACAATTTGCAATTTGACATTTACAAATAGGCTATTGGCTATTGCTTGTGTAGAGGCGAACAGAGTCGGCGTACGTGCAAATTATTTCGTCACATACAGACAGGACAACGCATTGTTACTACAAGCACGACATTGAAGGCGTTGCCATTATCCTGAAGTTTGACATGACAATCGAATTAAAATTATCATAATCAATACTACCGAAGCTAGTATATTTTTATATTATTCAATATTATTTAATTTAATTTTATAAAAACTTTTTTAACAGTAAATTAAATTAACAAAGATTATTTGATAGTTACATAAATGCAGATAATACGTAGATATTATGATATTTCAAAAATCTATTCGATCCATCTATGTAATTTTCTTTCGATATAAAATTGATGATTCCATGTAATGATTTATTATCGATAATTAACCGTGCTTGCCCCCTTGCGCCCGGCACTTGAAAAATTTAATAGGCGCAAATCATATATCTTTAAGAATGTTCTTTCTATCTAATCACTTTATTTACCTACCGTAAAAGTGTAATTAAACTCTTGACCACATGTTGTGTAATATCTATCAAAGTGATAAATGGTTAACGAAATAGCAAAATGTAATTTAAAAGAAATAATTAACATGTGTAGTTAACATTAATTAAATCTTATTAATTTTTAATAAAAAAATTGGTTTTTTTAATAATGTTAATAAATAAAAGCACAGAAGTTCTCGATTGTAGCGATGTATTGCAAGTACTGAAGCTTATTAAGAACATAGAAGAGCCTGGTAGCGGAAGCCTATCCAGTCGAGCTTATCGAAAGTTATTTATGTCGTGTTTGGCTACTACTTCGCTCATACGAGATTTTACACGCATTTATATTCGTGCACATGTGATACTGTGAGCTACCAAAAACTTGTCGAACATCCACGCGTCACCCATAAAACAACTGCAGGTACAATTAAAGAAGTGCAAGATACGAAGATTAGATCGCGATAAATCCGTTGATATTGGACGAGATTGCGATGAGCGACTGATAAAGTGCGTAAAGCTGCTTTCGCGTATAGTGTACATCACAATGTCCTACGCTCGTCATTCATTTCTTTGATATCACCTTTTTTATATTTCCCTATACATTCAGCAGATATAAATTTGTCTCCGAATTAAAAGATTAAATAAATAAATACGCGATAATATCTTCTTCTTTATTTTGAGATAATAAAATTGGAATATGGAGCTCGAGAAAAGGTGTTCAGCAAACATGATTATTGCAAGAAGATTCGATAACAGAAATCTTTTTTTACAATTCGAAGTATAGGTTCCAATGGTAATCCACGAATATAAAAAACGGGCTAACTAAGCGCGGTAAATAATGCGTGAAAGTTTTATTTTTATTTTTATTTTATAAGGTTGAAAAATATGTAAAATAAAAATAAAACTTTCGCGCGTCATTTACCGCGCTTGGTTCTTAGCTAGCCCGTTTTCTTTATTCGTTTTTTTTTTACAACTTAAAAAGTGTTCTCTTGCACGATTTCCTAAACAAGTGAACTTAGTATTATCTGCTATCAGCGATTCATATAACAACTCGTAATTACTGATATATAAGCTTATTTCTTTCTTCATATCGCAATTTCGATTTACAGTCTACTAATGACCTCTTCTAAGCTAGCAGGACCAAATCGGCAGAATCAAACCGGACCTATCAGAATATTTAGTACCCATTTTGTACTATTTTGTATCACTAATAACAATTTTGTATCCCGTGCCATTTCGGAGAAAATCGTGGCGGTGCTACCTTAGCATTAAGCTAGAAAGACCACAAGAAAAAAAAAGAAAAAAAGAAAATAAAATACAGAAATTTGAAGAACTGAATTTGTACTAATTTGTACCATACAAATAAACTTAATACATATATTTATCCCTTCTGCTAAAAAAATAACTCACCGGCCGATGCGCAACAGCGGAGTTGTAATTCTGCGTTGATCTGTAACAAAAGAAATATTTTTATATTAAAGCTACGTCCAAGATAATCGACAGTAAATAATTATCAAAGTAAATAATTATTGCCCGTTTTTAAAGCGTCATTTTAACAAATATCTGATTTTAAAATGTAAAAAACAATCGCGGCCGCCGGCGCCGCAATAAGCGGCTGGATATTTCCGTGTTAACTAGTTCGCATAATTCATCCGCGAAAAATTGTGCAAATAATACTGCGACCGTGCGAATAAGAGAGAGACGCGACGTTTGCGACGTAATATCTCGCATACGCCGGAGATCAGACTCGACCCGAAATTGCACCGTAGTTAAAAACCACGAAAGTGGCGGAGTCCACCACAGAACTGACAGGACGGCAATATATAATATATAAGAAAATTAACAACTACTCACCCCACGGTCGCTCCGCCGTCGCCCGATGCCTCCCAGGCCCCGTTCTCCTCTCCTCGATCGTCCTCCGTTACTCCGTTGGTCCTTGGTCCATTGTCGCACTCACTCACAACGCGACGACGTTCACGAGCGAAAATCGACGATATCGTCGATATCGTCTCCTCTTATGATCGCGCGACACTAAAGGTACACGGCACTCCCGGTATTAATCTCGCGACGCGGTACTAAGAAACTTAGTTACACGGCGACAGAAGAATTACGTCGCGCGGTCGAAGAAACTACGAACGAAACTATACGATCCGCTTGACGCCCATGACGCCATGACGCCGCACCGTGAACCGTGACATCCCGCGATTCCCGCGCGCAGGTAGACACGACAAGTGAAGCGAACGTTGCGGAGAGAATTTCGTAAATCGCGCACGGCCAACTTCACTCGCCCGAAGCAACTGTCTCGAGAACGCGATTACGCGATTACGCGACTTTGATTAACTACGGATTATCCGAAAAAATGTAATCGAATGCGATATACCTCGGTATCCGTATAAATTCCTCGAAGCACATGAATTAAATGAACTTTCGATATATGTATCACAGTTTTTCGCAAGCTAAACAATCGGACCCGGCGACAGGCGACACCCGGCGACTCGTGTATTTACTCCGCGATATATGCGATAAGGGAGCTGGAGCGGGAGTGGGAGTAACGACACGTCTGACGTCAGAACAGGTCACGGGCGTCGCGGTAAACATGAGTAGTGGGGATAGAGTGGGGGAAAGGTGAATACACACTACACACTACACACGGTGCGCGGTCGGTTAGTTCGGTATGCCGGGTATGGCGTATCGCATAAAGCCTACCCCTCTCTATCCCCACTGCTCATGTTACCAAGGCGCCCGCGGCCCGTTCTGATTTCTGATGTCGTTGCTCGCGGATCGCACATCGCAGAGTAATATAAGTACGAATCGCCAGGTCCGATTATTCAGATTACAGAAAAATTTGATACATCGAATGTTCATTTAAGGCCGGTTCTAATACAATCAGTCGTATGTCGCCTATGTCGGATGGCCCAATGAGAGAATTTCTTTTTCGATAACGAATTTTTCTCATTGGACCATCGGTTAAGTTCCGAAAGCAATCAAAGCGAACGCAGCCTATAATAAGTGTAATGAAGTACGCGCCGCGTCCGTGTCGTGAGATTAATACCGGGGAGTGCCGTGCCTTTTTAGTGTCGCGCGATCATAAGAGACGATGTCGTCGATTTTCGCTCGTGAACGTCGTCTCCATGTTATCGTCTATCTGCGGGACAATGGACATCGCGGCACGGACCGACGTGGGCCGACGGGTGTCGAGCGGATCATACAGCTTCGTTCGCAGCTTCTTCGTCGTAATTTTTCCGTTGCCGCGTCGCGAGATTGATGCCGGGAGTGCCGTGCCTTTAGTGTCGCGCGATCATAAGAGGAGACGATATCGACGATATCGTCGATTTTCGCTCGTGAACGTCGTCGCGTTGTGAGTGAGTGCGACAATGGACCAAGGACCAACGGAGTAACGGAGGACGATCGAGGAGAGGAGAACGGGGCCTGGGAGGCATCGGGCGACGGCGGAGCGACCGTGGGGTGAGTAGTTGTTAATTTTCTTATATATTATATATTGCCGTCCTGTCAGTTCTGTGGTGGACTCCGCCACTTTCGTGGTTTTTAACTACGGTGCAATTTCGGGTCGAGTCTGATCTCCGGCGTATGCGAGATATTACGTCGCAAACGTCGCGTCTCTCTCTTATTCGCACGGTCGCAGTATTATTTGCACAATTTTTCGCGGATGAATTATGCGAACTAGTTAACACGGAAATATCCAGCCGCTTATTGCGGCGCCGGCGGCCGCGATTGTTTTTTACATTTTAAAATCAGATATTTGTTAAAATGACGCTTTAAAAACGGGCAATAATTATTTACTTTGATAATTATTTACTGTCGATTATCTTGGACGTAGCTTTAATATAAAAATATTTCTTTTGTTACAGATCAACGCAGAATTACAACTCCGCTGTTGCGCATCGGCCGGTGAGTTATTTTTTTAGCAGAAGGGATAAATATATGTATTAAGTTTATTTGTATGGTACAAATTAGTACAAATTCAGTTCTTCAAATTTCTGTATTTTATTTTCTTTTTTTCTTTTTTTTTTCTTGTGGTCTTTCTAGCTTAATGCTAAGGTAGCACCGCCACGATTTTCTCCGAAATGGCACGGGATACAAAATTGTTATTAGTGATACAAAATAGTACAAAATGGGTACTAAATATTCTGATAGGTCCGGTTTGATTCTGCCGATTTGGTCCTGCTAGCTTAGAAGAGGTCTACTAATGTTGTGGTGCAGCTGCGACCAGATCGTATAAGCTCAATCGTTAAATCGGCTTCGACTCGTACTTTTCTCACATATAAATACGAATGAATCAGGAGTTATACCACGCGATCGTTTCAGGATTCAACCGATAGGCCGCATCGAGCCGCGTTGGTTCGATCGACTTAACAGACAAGGACGTACGTGGTCACCACGGATAAGGACAGACGGTAGATTCTCCTTCAATTTGTTTGTAGACGATGCTATTTGTGAGATGTTCACGTTGCGTCTGCATTTTATTACGAGGTATCATATATTTCTCCCTTTACGTACACGACGCAGTTTACAATGCTGACAGATCAAGAGAATTATAGGGAGAAGGAAAAGGAGAAGGAGAAGGAGAGATAGAGAGAGAAGTAGGAGAATGGAGAGGATCCAGAGTCCGGTAATGGAACGCACTCGCCTTGGCTATCTAGCCGCGCCCGTCACTAAATCAGGAGATATTACCACTATTGTGCTCACAATCAGTCGTAATACCTGCGATAGGCTTAGTCAGGATGTACTGCGATCGTCTGGACTAACGTCGATTTCCAATTACTGTCCACCGTTCATGGTGCACGAAGTCAAGATTTGTTGGAGAACTATGGAAAAAAGAAACCCGTATGGAATTACAGAAATGGTTTTATACAATGTTAATATAAAATATGTTAGAAAATAATTTCATAGTACTTTAAGCAGATTTATTTTTTTTTTACACGATATTAGAAAATTTATGCTAAAGTGTGAAAACAATCATTCACAGTATGGAAGATAATTATGAAAATTAAAAAAGTGAACATAGCCGATTTATTGTTTCCCAGTATACAGTTTTCAAAAAAAAATTATGTAGTTATAATTAATTTTATCTTTATACTGAAATTTGCCTACTACTAATTATAGCATTATAATTTTATACACAGAAGGAAGTTGTAAAGAATCATATTAAACCATTTATATAGTATTATCAATGCAGCGGTTGCGACGATAATTCTGAAACATGTTAATACATGACTGCTTACTGATAAAGAATGTCTCGACATAAACGCAGATCGTGCACGTTGTGTTCATAAAAAATTCAGACAAAAGTTAGAATCATTCAATTTTCAGTTTCGTATATTTACGATATAGTATCGTAACTTTGATGCACAAGATATTATAAGTTTAAATGTAACACGGATAACGTTTCAACGGTCGGAATTAAAATTTATTTCTTGCGTAGCTAATATACGTGTATCGTGTATGGTTGTTATATCTTTCTAGTTTTATTGTAATTTCGTCGCGTATTCCATTCGCGTTTTGCATTGAATAACATGACAGTAACCGATTGTATCAAACGACATATCTTTTGTTTTTATTCTTGCTTTCATCTAATTGTGATAATTTTTATCATATCAACTAGATGACCGGAAAATACATGCACTGACAGAAATGGAAATCAGATAACAATTTCTGCTCTTTTTATTTATCAAAAGACAGAATATTATTTTGAAATATAAAATACAAATGCGATTATATCAAAAGATAGAGATATAAGAGACACATTGATAGATTTAGATAGATTAATTCTATTACAAATTTGCATTAATTGTAGATGAGTGCATTCATATATTTATATCTGCTTTCGTACAAATTGACTTTATTTATCTTACTAGATTCTCATTGTGATCAGAATGACAATGCATCTTGTTTAATAAAAGCGTGTATTATTAAGGTGCACCCGAAGTCCTGTTATCATAAATTGCACCGAGAGTGTTAATAAGAACAAAGCTCCAAAGCAAATTTACTGCAGTGTTCAGAATCATATTGCCTAACAAGAACAAAGAGCTGAAGGAATATCATATAATAAAATTGTGAAATAAGCGAATAGAGAGAGAAAGATGGTAGAAAGTAAGAACTTATTATTATTATTATACTCAGCATTACGTCGTATCAGTAAGAAAATTAAACGGAGAGATAGCTCAATATTTAATAAACTATTAAAAACAATATTAAATAAACTATTCAAAATAATCTAAAGAAGCAATAAATAATGATTTGATCTCAATAATTAATACTTCAGCGATAAAACGTGATTTACGTATATTTATATAAATCGATTCGGTCTTTGACAATTTTATTGCGGTTATTGTCCTTCTAAGAATGTGATTTAATATGAATTTGCATGATCAGTTTTGTCTCATGTCCTAAAGCACCTATTAATACATTTTACGAAATAGAAGAGCAGTGCCAACTAATTTATTGCAATTACGTTTTTTTGTTAGCGATAATAAGATATAATTCTTATTATAAAGTTATAGAGCTTTCTTGATGCAAAATGCATTTTTACCGAAATGTCCTGGGCTATATGTTCAGTGAAGACGATAAGGCCTGACTCCGCCCTAACAGGTCTCCTCATCCTTTCTCAGACCTTTCTATACTCTCCATCATCATCTCCTCGTCCTCCGGGGCCATGCAGGCGGGTAGCATCGACCATCATTCATCACTCGGTACTTTTTGGTACGTCGGACAAGTTCCGAGAATGTTGGTGCAATTATATTAAACATAAATCAGTTATAACGAGCCTATGTGATCGCAATGAAGAGTGCACAATTGATGCACATGCTTGTCTATCTGCCTCTCGCGTGCCGCTTCGCGCTTATTGCGTCAAGCTCGAAACACGCGAAAAGACGTAAAATCGTGTCTATTATTATTGCTTTATACATGAGAACGCGCAGGAAATTTCCTTTAAGTATACTTCTTAGAGACGATTTCCTTTTTACTTCTCTTTTTTATCATAATGATTATTAATAGTTAATACCTTAGTAACCTTTGAATTAATTATAATAATATTATTATGATGGTTTCATTATTTTGGTAATTCACATATTTTAGTTCTATAATTTACATATTTTACGTCAGCATGAAATATGATTGCTGCAATTTTGAATACATAAATATTTATAATTCGGTCATTATACCTAAAGAGAGACACGGAGACATCAACACACAATGATAAATCAAATCGCCGACGAAGAAAAGCACTTAATTTTAGTGTATCTTGTTTGTATCCTAGTAAGGTCATCATGATTAGTACTAACGATAAAAAAAGGCGTTCTCTATTAAGACAGTGGCCGAGGTCTATCCGCCTTCTTGAGCTCTGACTTCTCAGCTTCGTTCCCTCGAATCTCCTTCATATCTAATACTCTTTTCTTCCTTTTCTTCTTTCTTTCTCCTTTTCTTTCGCTTCTTTTGAGCGCTAAGACCGAATGAAAATGTATGAGGGCGATATCTATGGTTGAGAGGGAGAATTG